TCAACAAGCCAAAATAATCAAGTCGAAATCAACAAGTCAAAATCAACCAGTCAAAATCAACAAGTCAAAATCAACAAGTCAAAATCATCAAGTCAAAATCATCAAGTCAAAATCATCAAGTCGGAATCAACAAGTCGATTTCAACAAGTCAAAATCAACCAGTCAAAATCAACAAGCCGAAATCAACAAGTCGGAATCAACAAGCCAAAATAATCAAGTCGATAAACAAGTCAAAATCAACAAGTTAAAAATCAACCAGTCGAAATCAACCAGTCGAAATCAACAAGTCAAAATCAACAAGTCAAAATCAACAAGTCGGAATCAACAAGTCTAAAGTGACCTGATGTTAAGCTGGCCCACATTTCAGTTTCTTCACTTGTTCCTTTTTTAACCAAAGTGTATTTTAACGTCGTGTTTTCCTTTGATGCTCCTGTTTTCTGGCTCCGACATCAGAGTTGTTTAGTTTGAAACTCCTGACTCAAGTCTTGGACACGGACGAAAGGATCAGCAGGTTTTGTTTACGAAGACAACCGATGTCCTCCAGCCGACATTTCAGCTCAAACCTTTCTTCTCTGTTCAGACCTGCTGCTCGAAGGAACGAGGACACTTTCTTTTCTTCTGACGCTTCCTTTCTGTAACTCTTTCATCCGTGTGCATGTTTGAGTGTCTTTGTGTTTCCATCATTTCATCCAATTTATACGTTTTCCAGCACGTGTTCCAAACAGATTTGGACGAGAAACGTTTTTTTCACCAAACACAAAAACACAAAGAAGCTCTGCCGGAGTTACATAGACAATACAGGCTGTTTGCACAGATGGCCACCCCTCACAACACAAAAACCATAACACAGGGTGACCAGACTTTACTACTTGGACCTGAAAGCACCATTGCACAACCCCAAAGCCACATAATGAGACAGAAACCAGATGTGACTCAGGTCAGAGGGCGAGACATCACCAAGTGCCGCACAGATCAGCTGCATCCCGCCTGTTTCCAGATGGATCGATGCTTCTGCAGCTTTCATTCAGACGCGTTCAATTATAAACACGCGGTTCACAAGAGACGAGTCGCAGAGGAATCCTCCCACACGTTGGTGCGAGTTACTTACATTTCACTGCTCTGCATCAGCTCGATGAGGTCAGTGAAGAGGACGTCTCGGTTCCTCTCACAGAACCCGTCGGCATCATAGGACACCTGCAGAGAGGCACGCAGAGGAATTTATCAACAACAAAAATCCTGAGTTTAAAAACCTGAAGCAAAAAGAAACTGTGTGGGGAATAAACACTGGAACTGGTATTTTGAACAAACTCAGAAACTTGACTTTAACGGTAAAATTGAACAGTTTTGAAGCTTTTCACCTCCCGGGATCAGCCTCTATGTAAAAGCAGCAGACATAATAAAGTGTTTGTTTCTGTGACACTGCAGGACGAGACGTTTGCCGCTCAGTCGTGGGAGCCTCGATCCTTCCTCGCAAGGCTCATTAAGCCTGCGGCATGAGTGCCAGGCCGAGGCCACTGCACATCTGGAGACGGCCTCGACAACCCCACCGCCCAAATCGACACAAACACCAAACGCAGACAGTATCATCTGACTTAACTAGGACTGATAAACTCGTATGACTTTGATATTCTTGTGTTATGAGGAAGGAGGAGTTGGTTTTCGAGTGGAAATCTTAAAAGGCTCAAGATGCGACAGACTCCAGGATTGAAGCAGCAGCTGCACAACTGGTACTTTTCACAGATCACACAAAGAACAGCTTCCTTACAGAAACCATAAAAAATAATTAGTTTCCATTTCCAGAACCTTAATTTCAGCCTCCTGTTTCAGGCTGTATGTATAAATATAACATGTTACACCTGACACCACAGCAGGACAAGTGTACAGAGAGATGTTTGAATCTTTCTGATCTGATTTCCAGCTGTTTCCAAACAAACCAAACTCATTAAACCGTGACGGAGTCTCGGCGTGGGCACACTGACCTTGCCAGCGTAGTGATGGATAATGAAGCCTTGGTTCCAGCTGTTAAAGTGCTCGTGTGTGTTGATCGCAACGCGGAGCTTCTGCAGCATGGTCTGGTCTGCTCCCTCGCCCACCGCATGCATGGTGGCGCACACGTCATCCAGGATGCACATGACGCCCGGGGGACTCTGGGGTCATGGAAAACACATCTCTCATGCCACAAACTGTTTTAAAAATAAAGCTTAAAGACTGTTTTGGTTACTTAGTTTACTTTGCAGATTAGACTTTTAGTTTCATATTTTTAAATCACATACGTTTTTAACCCTCCTGCTGCCCTTGGGTCAAAATGCTCCACGAGACCTCAGCCTTGGAATAAAAACTGTTTTATGACTGAGGACTTGTGGGTCCTTTAGACTCGAGGGGAGCAGGAGGGTCAACACAAAATTAGCACTCCATGTACATAAACTTTCTCACTGTGGTTTGTGAACTTTTAAAGCGTCAAAAAGACGTCAACTTGTTACTGGATTAAGCAAAGCGCTGAACTGTCAGACACCGAGACAAATCCTCTGCCCCTCTCTGCTGGGGGGCTCGTTTTTAAGCCCTCGTTGAAGATTTTGTGGATTAGGAGAAATGATAAATCAAATTAAAAGACATGTTGGTGCATTTGAGAAGAAGAAGCTGGAGGTCAAGGATACAGAAGAAAAAATAGAAGTTTGACTAAAACTGTTGAAAAGCCATCTTATGTTCATTATAAGTTTTTATTTTGTTTACTGCTGAGAAATACCAATAACTGTAATGGATTTTAGAGCACGTTGGAATAAATGTTGGCGTGAGCATAAGATTTATTTATTCCAGAGGAGATTGTGTAACGACGGCTTGTGGTTTCTATTGATTTTAGACAAATCCATCAGTGAATTAATCCTAATTTATAACGCAGTAGTGAATGTCCATCACAAGTTCACAAAGTCCAACAAGTCTGTTTATCGTCTCTATCAAATCTGAAGTTCTTACTTTAAACAATAAAAAAAAAAATGTTTGGCATCATCTTTATCCTTTTTAAATATCTATTCATAATTGATCAATTACTACAAGTATTCAGATTGAAATCCATAAAGAAGAACACACTTTGGTGTTAGTTAGAAGCTCTTCTGTAACCGTGAGTTCAATGTTTCTCTGTATAATCACCTTGCTCTCGATGAGATCGCACACGATCTTGTTGTTGAAATAATCTATAGGAGTCCACTTGATGCCCTCCTGCACATACTCCTCCTGCGACAAGTGTCAAACAGAAAATTTAAACAATATACCGTCAAGATGGGAAACACAAAGTGGACGAATGTGGAGAAACGTCACCTGCTCTGCTTTTAGAGTGAGCTCAATGAAGATCTGCTGGAGCTTCTCGTTCACAAAGTTGATGCAGAACTGTTCAAACCCGTTTTTCTAAAGACGACAACACGGTTAATACGATCCATTCAGCCCACATGAGCTTTGTCTGGAGCAGAATCAGGATAATCTTCATGTTCGCTGGGAGTTCTCTACAGGCTGTCTGACATTAAAGCAAGGCCACGTTGCATTTTTACTAAATTGTGCATTATTTGTTGCTAATCCAGAATGCTCACAGTTGTTTTCTCATTTGTTGCAAACTAACTTCTGCATATTTTATGTCGTTTTAACCATTCATAGGTCAAGATGTTCAGCTCGTTCAGTAGATGGGTGCTATGGCTTTTGTTCTTGACACTTTTTTACTTTAAGAATTTGTTTTTAACTTGTTTCCCCATGGAAATATGTTAAGATCTCTTCAGTTCTGCTTCAGCACTTCCTCTGCTTTTGTCTTCTTATGCTACTTTTAGCTTTTAAATACCAATACTATTCAGATCCTTTTAGCTTTTAGCTACCTTTCTGATGCATTTAACAAATCTTTTGCTAATTTTAGCTAGCATTTTGACACTTTGTTAGCTTTTTTAATTTTTCTACCTTGGCTACTTTTACCTTTTTTCTAATTGTTTATACTTGGGTTTCTTTTAGCTACTTTTAGCGTGTCTTCTTATGTTACTTTAAGCTTTTATATACTATTCTGATCCTTTTAGCTACATTTGTGATGCATTTAGCAAAACTGTTGCTAATTTTAGCTAGCATTTTGACACTTTGTTAGCTTTTTTAATTTTTCTACTTTGGCTACTTTTACCTTTTTTCTAATTTTTTACACTTGGGTTTCTTTTAGCTACTTTTAGCGTGTCTTCTTATGTTACTTTTAGCTTTTATATACTATTCTGGTCCTTTTAGCTTTTAGCTACATTTGTGATGCATTTAGCAAAACTGTTGCTAATTTTAGCTAGCTTTTTGATACGTTTAACTTTAAGCTTTTTTAAAACCTTTTAGCTAGCATTGTGCTACTTTTACCTTTTTTCTATTTGTTCAAATACTTGGGTTTCTTTAAGCTACTTTTGTCTTCTGTTACTTTCAGCTCACAATTTGCAACTTTTAGCTTCTAGTTCATTTATGCTTCTGTTACATTTTATGAAATGCAAATTATGAAGTTAAAATAGAAACACCTTTTAACAGAAAGTTTTGTTTATGATTCTTTTTGCAAATTAAAGTATTAAAGAGCACTTCAAATTTCAAGACCTCTCATCGATCTACGAAAAAACAAACAAGTAATCTGATTTTAAAAAGCTGCCGTCTCCATCAGAAGATGCAGCTTAATCCACATACTTTATACATTAGTCTTATCCTCTGTGTTAAATCTGTCTAAATGCAAAAACCAGTTAATCTGACTCGTGTGCGGCTGCAGAGTAAAGCTCTAGTAGTCAGGAGTTAGTTGGAGAAGAAGTCGAGGTAAAAAAAAAAAAAAAAAAACTTACTTGGAAAATTTCAAATCCATAAATATCCAAAACGCCGATGTTCAACTCCTGATGATCTTTCACCATGGCTCTGTTGATCGCCTACAATCGAACGATTATCTCAACAACTTGTACACCGTCGCAGTGACGATGATAATCCTGCACAATTATTCTGAGACTGAACAACGGAGCGCTCATACCTCAACCAGGTAGTCAAACACACGTGCATGCAGAGCCTTGGAGAGTGCGTCTCGCGTGTAACACGCCTGCTCCACGTTCAGGGTCACGTCAATCGACTCCACAGCGTTGCCCCACTTGCTGTCCATCTTTCGGCTCGTCAGCTTCTCTTTCAAACGGTTCTGGTCAATGCCGAGCAGAAACGCAGGAAAAGCTAAAACTAATAAAAGAGAAGGGAGGAGGTAAACATTACGAAGGAGTGCGTAAAGGCTCGTTTCACTTAAATCGTTAATAAATGTTCGAGGTTCTTTATTATCATTTGCATCACATGTGGTACATGAGGTGGAATGAAATTGTGTACTCAAGGTCCCAGTTAAACCCAGAAATGGCGAAAGTATAAAGTATAAAAAAGAAACCGTATACAAGGATCTAAGATATACGCTAAACAATAATAATGTAAAATAATACGGTGCATTAAACAGCAGTCTGAACATTGAACTGCCTGAACTTCAGGTGGTGTTAAGAGCTGTCATTTCTAACCCGTAGACCGGCCCGACCCGGATTAGGGCCAGTCCATAATGTGCTTAATGTGCGGACTGGGCCGGTGTCGGACTTTTGATTGCGTCAGCGGACACGCGCGGCTGACGTTCCAATTATATGGCAACATGGCTTGCCATACTATCACCAGCCGCATGCGGCCATTTGACCGTGAGCTGACCGGCCTGGAAAGAGGTAAAAAGTTCCGTTTAGCTTCAGATGGGACAGGAAGCGGTCCATCAAAGCCTAAATGGACGTTCGTTCAGCCGCTGCGCTCAGCGGACGCGTGCAGCCGATGACCCAAACAGGGGAGATCCCAAAATATCTGACATGTCAGAGCAGGGTCCGTGTCTGAATAATGCAGAGTGCAGGCAGAAGCAGGGATTTAATGCACTTTGACGGCCATGAAAGGACAAACACCCCCTCAGCTCCGATCTTCTGCCCCTTTAGCCACGCACATCCACCGACTGTTAATAACTATATATAAGCAGTCAAAGCTTAATTAAAAATGTTGTGTTTTTTCGGGTACAGACCTGTAATTACTGTTAATTCGTCGGGTCGGGTGGGGTTCGGAAATGATGGCTACGGGCTGGGGCCGGGTCAGGTTGGATTTTTTGGGCCTGAATGCAGCTCTAGTTGGAGTAACGATGAAGGTTCAAATGTTACTGCTCATTTCAGTTCAAATCACAGCTACAAGTCAAAGTTCAGGTCTTTGGTTTGAACAAAACAAAACTTGTCAGGCCACTATATATAAAAAAAAACATTCAGAAAAGAAAACTTTACTATATATCAAGACAACACATTTTTGATAAATATTTGACACGTTTTATTCAGTTACTACTTTATAGTTTTTAAAAAAAATCTGCGATTTTAGGATGCTGTGCTGCAAAAAAAGCTAAGACAAACTTCTAAAAAAATCAGCCGGTGAATCAGCAGAACTTTATCATTCCGAAGATCATCTCTGCAAACTAATAGTAGCGTCACTGAAAATCATATATCGGACACATTTGTTTTATTTTTTCAACCTTTATTTATACAGGTTAGTTCCCAGTGAGCCTCGAGGACTCCTTTACAGTTAGACCTGTTAAGTTTGTTTTTACCAATCAGTTGCAAAGTCTCAGAAAGCACCATCACCTCTTTATGCATGCAAAAGTTACATTATGACACAAAACAAAGGTGGTTTTAAAGCTGAACCACAGAAAATTAGCTTTTCTTCAAAGAAATCATAATCCATAAGAGTAATAGTAATAAGCTAACTCATAAAAATAAGCTGTGCACACTACAGACTTTTTGCCATGACCTGGTGTTGATATTGTCCCTGGAGGGACCCTCCCAGTCTTATTACAGTGACTCACTTCCCCTAAAAGGAAATAACTCTCAGGCTTGCAGACTCACTGCGTCTGGGAATGAATCACGCCACTGTAGCAGCTCCTGTTTTGGGACGTTCGGTTGTGACTAACTACATATTTCAATCATGAGGAAATGTGTTGTTTGACAGAAGATGTATGGCTGTTACGCTGTAAACGTGATGCTTTTACACATTGTGTACGCAACCATTGGGAACACAACACTCAGCTTCCCACAGGAAATTTGTTAGTCAAAGCAGCAGTAGATGGGGTGTTGTCAGGACAGAGGTCGGCCAATTATGCTGCTTCAACCCAGTTAGGGATGTGAGACAACAATTAACACTTTGGCCACGTTTTGAATAAAACCATTTGAACACAGTTCCATCCATCCATCTTCTTTCCCTGTTTTTATTCAAGCAGGGTCACTGAGGAGTGAAGACGAAGAGCACGCCATTGTCATGCGATTATATTGACAGCGAAAACAGCTCGTTTCAAACTGTAAATAATCAACAGGCTTCATAAAAGGCAGCATGAAAAACCTAAACAGACATGCAAAGCTACACTAGGAGACAATCAGAATACTAATAAACCCAACAAGGTTAAGTCAGGTCCTCTGGACCTTCTTTGTTTCATCTTTTATCCAAAAGACTTCTTCAGTCTTTCGTTTCAAAAAGAAGAATCTGTCCAGAGGACCTGACTTAACCTCGTTAGGTTTATCTACATGGATTATGTGGCATGCATCAGGACAATACTAATAAACAACTAAAATAAAGAATGTTCAGTTTATGTTTGTGATGTTTTACAGCATACTGGGGTCTAAAAATTGTGAAGATTTATTAATTAATTTACTGATAATTAGTGTCACGTTTGCAAATTCCCTGAAGCAACAGTAGGAGTGTCAGTTTCCGTCCTAAACTACAGTGATCTGCATAAAACACAGGCAGAGCCAGCTCTTGTCAGCAATGACCAGAGCGGTTTGTCAAAAGCAGCGCAAAGCTGAGGAGAATCTCAAACAAATGATAACGATGATGATAACGATGATGATAACGATGATGATAACGATGATGATAACGATGATGATAACGATGATGATAACGATGATGATAACGATGATAACGATGAGCCTCACCAACACACACAGTTTAGTTTTCACTGCTACTACACAATATGAACCCGATTACCCATTCAAGTGGTTAAGATTCACTCCTTCATAGGGAAAATTAAACACTGCGTCGAGTCTATTTTGGTTAGTAAACTCCAACAATCAAACACAGTAGTCCTTCGCTATTCCGCGGTTTGTTTTTCACGGATTCCCTCTATCCCACGTTGTCAAACTAAGACTGGACATGACACACAATTGGCTGCTCGATGGACGAGCCGCACGATCGGCACGTTATTTTTATTTTAAATAAATTATTTTAAAATTATTTAGCACTTGCTGCACATTTCTGCAGCCCAGAGCTGCAGAAAAAGCTTCCTGCTGCAGCTGATCAGCTGTTCACTGTGCAGAGCGGAGAAGTGGGCGTGGCCAAGAGCGCTTGCAGGTGACAAAAAGCAGAGGAGGCAGGGAGCTGAAGTCATGACATTCTGTGCTCTTTTAGAGCTTTTAGAGTTTAGAAACATTCTTTAGAATATTGCAAGAATGTGGGAAGGGTTTAAAATGCTTTATATATAAAATAAACTACTACTTACTATTTGTACTACTATTCCTACTTTGCGGTTTTTCCCTTATCGTGGGTCTTCAGGGTACGATCCCCTGCAATAAACAAGGGACTACTGTATATCCAAGATGGCACATTTGCAACAGAGCCTGGCACAAAGTTCGCTGTGCTCATGCCTAATTTAGCACCACATTTAGATAATAAACAGCAACAGACACAAGAGTACACCAAAACCGATTTTACGACGAGCACAAATTCAGTAATTCACCCCCACTGTGTACAATCCATTACAATGTTAGAAAGGAAGAGGGAAACAGGAACAGCAGCAACGATAAGGAGCTGCTCTGATGTCTGAACAAAGCTCTTTCATCTGCACCGTGTAAGAATCGGAAAGGAAAGAAAAACGAGAAGAAAGAAAAGGCACAAAAGACCAACAAAAAACTAGTCCTGCAAAAATCGCTTTCTGGTCATCAAATCTGGACTAGATTACTCGAGACGTCTGGCTGCAGCTCAGCATTAACACGGTAAAGGTTAAGGGCGTGACAGTGGTAAGAATTTTTTTTTTTTTTTTAACCAAAACCAGCCGGAGACGGTCAGCTCAGGACACCAAGGAGACAGTCTCAACTTGCATGCACCATCACTTTACCAACATTACGAGCACAGAAGTGTTCCTGACAGACTGCAGTCTTTCACTGATTTGTTCTGGAGCTGTGTGTCTCAGCAGCTGCAGATTTGATCCATTATAGACACAACAAGTATCACTATAACCTTTAAATTGATTAAATGTGCCCCAAGAAAAATGACTTGTATACGTGTTTCAGGTAATTGTTAAAAATCATCTTGATATAAAAGTTGTGGGAAAAGGTTGTCGTGTGATTTGAGCACACTTACACTCTTCGCTCTCCACAGCAGCATAGTTGCCCGATTCCTTGAACGTGATGTTTCCCAGGTGAAGGACTCCAGCCACAATCTGAAGCACCATGGAGCGGTCCTGTGCCGAGATGCCAATCACACCCATGGCATGCTGAGGAGGTAACAGGGGAGGGATAAATAACGTGCTAAACCAGGGCTACAGCGTGGGCTAATGTGTCCTCTAATTACTCCTGCTGCACTGAGCAACAAAAACAGGAAGAGGAGGGTGATGATGAAGACGCTGCATGACATTTGGATAAATTCACAGCATCACTGCCGCCGTCTGAGTCGGAGCGTACCACGGTCTCCTGGAAGTCACTCTTGTCGTTGATGTCCTCCACTTTGTAGGAACCGGACTGATTGAGGTAACTGTAGTAATCCAGGCTCGTTATTCCCAGGCTGCTCTTCTGCTCACTGCTGGCTCCTTCTATCAACTGGGAAGAAGAAATTCACACTTCATGTGTAGAATAATTTAAAAAATGGGACTTTGTTCAAAATGTAGTGTAAAAATATTACAAAATAATCCCCAGATAGCCTAAAATTCAGTAATAAGCATTTTAAAAATGATTTTAAGCAAGATTTTTCCTCTCTATACAATTCTAGTAAAAAATAAAATAAAATAAAAGACTCAATAAACATGATTAGTTAGTAAAGATCCAGGTAAAGCAGTGGGTCTCAAACTTTTCAGCTTTATAATACCAACTATTGTTGGTTACAGTTTGCAAACTTTAGTAATTATCCAAATAAACAAGCAGACTCACCAATTATACATTTATGACTATTTTATAATAATTACTTATATATTTTCTAACAATTATCGTAAAAATATAGTTTTAGCAATAATTTCAAATTCAATCTGATTCCTGTTGATCGTCTTAAGATTCAGAGTGACGCCCTGACTTCAGCTCTGGCAACCGTCCATTATCTTTATCCGCCTCTTCCTTTTTGGGTCGCGGGGGTCAATGGTGGTGCCCATGTCCAGCAATCACTGTGCGAGAGGCGGGGGACACCTGGACAGGTCTCCAGTCCATCACAGGGACACATAGAGACAAACAACCATTCACTCTCTCACTCTCACCTAGGGACAATTTAGTTGCCAATCAGTCTAACATGCATGTTTTTGACCTGTGGGAGGAAACTTGAGTACCCGGAGAAAACCCACGCAGCACGGAGAGAACATGCAAACTCCACCCAGAAAGATCCAAGGCCAGGATATGAGCCACACAATGAAGATCTGGGAGAGAGTTATGGAAGCAAGACTTAGACGAGAGGTGACTATCTGTGAGCAGCAGTATGGTTTCATGCCTACAAAGAGCACCACATACGCCATCTTTGCTTTGAGGATGCTGATGGAGAAGTACAGAGAAGATCAGAAAAACCTCCATTGTGTCTTTGTGGATTTAGAAAAAGCGTCTGACAGAGTGCTGAGAGAGGATGTGTGGTATTACATGAGGAAATCTGGAGTGGCAGAGAAGCATGTTAGACTAGTACAGGACATGTATGAGGACAGCAGGACAGTGGTGAGATGTGCTGTAGGGGTGACAACTTCAAGGTGGAGGTGGGAGTGCATCAAGGATCGGCTCTGAGCCCCTTCTTGTTTGCTCTGGTGATGGACTGACTAACAGATGAGGTCAAGCAGGAATCCCCATGGACAATGATGTTTGCAGAGGACGTTGTGATCTGTGGAAGAGAACTTGCAGAGGTGGAGGTATGCACTTGAAAGAAGAGGAATGAGTCAGCCGTATTAAGACAGAGTCCATGTGTGTGAATGAGAGGGAGGAGGTGGAACAGTGCGGCTACAAGGAGCAGAGGTCACAAAGGTGCAGGACTTCAAGGACTTGGGGTCCACTGTCCAGAAGAATAGGGAGTGTGGTAAAGAGGTGAAGAAGAGAGTCCAGGCAGGATGGAGAAAAGTTTCAGGAGTGATTTGTGACAAAAGGGTGTCAGCAATAGTCAAAGGAAAAGTTTACAAGACAGGGGTGAGACCAGCGATGATGTATATTCTGGAGACAGAGACATGGACAAAAAGACAGGAGACAAAACTGGAAGTGGCAGAAATGAAGATGTTGAGGTTCTCCTTAAGAGACAAGGATGGAGAAGATTAGGAATGAGATCATCAGAGGTACAGCACAGGTTGAACAACTGGGAGATAAAGTTAGAGAGGACACACTGAGATGGTTTGGACATGTCCAGAGGAGAGACAGTGGTTTGGACATGTCCAGAGGAGGGACAGTGGGTATATTGGTAGAAGGATGTTAGAAATGCAGCTGCCAGGAAAAAGACAAAGAGGAGATATATGGATGCAGTTAGAGAGGACATGGAGGTAGTTGGAGTGAGGACAGAGGACAGAGGACAGAGTGAGATGGAGGAGGACGACTCGCTGTGGAGACCCCTGAAGAGGGAAAAGCCAAAAGAAGAAGATGACAATAACTTGAATTATATTTAGGACACATTTAGGAACAGATCACAAAAGATAAAAACCCAGAAACCTGAGCATTAAAGACAATCTGGCATAAAATATTAAATAAAACTATCAAACTTCCATCCATCCCTTTACTTTAACCTCGTCTCCTTTCCTGCAATCACTGTGCAAGAGGTGGGAACACTGGACAGCTTACAAGGGTGAAACCTTATTTTATACTTTTTTTATATTACATTTTGCCCATTGCTGTACATCCATCTAAAAAATAAAAAAAATAAAAAAATAAAAAACTCTGCTTGAGCCCCGATTTCTTTCTAAATAAATTACACAGAAGAACTCAACTTTTCTCTTTGTGCTGGACTGTTCAACACCGGATGAGGAAAAACAATGAGTTTTCCCTTCGACTCACTTGATAGAATATATGGAAACTCCTTTCTCCAGGATTCCTCGTGACGACGCGAGACTTCTCCAAGAGAAAATTGGAAATTTTCCCTCCATCTGGCTCTCCACCGGAACTGAACTGGATCTCGAAGTACTTTCCCTGTTGGATCAAAGCAGGTTTTTTTTTCCCATATGGATTAACATAAAGCTCAAAATACAAATTTATGGTGTGAAAACATGGCATCTGGGCCTTCCAAAGTTGCTAGAGTGTGTATGTGTGAATATATTTACTACATGTAAAAATCTGATCCAGCTTTTCGTGGTGCTTTGGACTCCAGACGGATCTGTGATGTATCCGTTGCAGTCGAGTTGAGAGCAGAGGCCCAAAACTGAACAGAGACACTCCTTATTTAAAGAGAGCTGTGATCTCAGGCCATCAGTGCCAAAGCTATTTATTTTTCCTCTAGAATGGTTTAAATATCTTTGTAAGCACTGCTTTGTAGGGAAATATGAAATGGATCCAGGTAAGCAGGTGAAAAATGATGAAAAAGTTTATTTTCCATCGTAGCGAAGCAGCAGAGGAGCTGAGTGAGTGGTTCGACATGCGTTTCTTTTTCTTCTGGTTAACCAGGACACATGTGAGGCTGCTGCCTCGAGCGAGGACAGAAAACAGAAGATGAATCTTTGGATCCAAGCTGAGGCTTTTTGAAAACAAAGGTGTGCCACAAAAATCCTCCAGCAGCCACATGCCCGTAAGGCGTGAAACCTTTTGTTAGCAACACAATGGAGGAGTTGCGTTGCAGGTTTAAAGGCCTTCTTTTTTTTTTTTTTTGGGGTTTCAGAACGCGAGAAAGATGCAAAAAAATGAAATGTAGGGAAAGTTTAGTGTTTTGAAATTACAGCTCCTGATTAGGTTGCTGTTACGAGTGGAGCGAAGTGGAACCCTTACAAATCGGCTGGAGTTGTTGTTCCTCAGAGTCTTGGCGTTTCCGAAGGCTTCTAGCAGCGGGTTGGACTGCAGGATGATGTCTTTGACGTGCTGCATGGAGAAAAATGTATAAATAAAACCCTCACTCTATTACACACACAAACTGCACAGCAGGTAGACGCACCACAACATTTCACACCCTCGGCGACAGCCTGCTGCTTACGACTTTGGAAGTTTCCACTTAGTGTGTGTGTGTGTGTGTGTATAAACTCACGCAGAAATGTCCGTCTGCAGACAACACACACACACAAAGTCTGGAGGACATTATCTGTCCTGTGAGCCATGTGTATGTCAGAGACACATGAGTTTTTAATCTTGGGCAGACAGAGAGGTTCCCTCTTCCATTATTGTTTAACGTTGAATGGAACGCTTTTCTTCTGTCTAAACTCACTCCTTTACGAAACATAAAGTAAACACTTCACTTTATGATTTTACCAACAACAGCAACAACAAAAAAAGTTCAGACAAGGAACAAACAATTGGCAGTTTTTTTTTTTATTTATTTTACTTTCTCAAATCTAAATTAAAAACACATTAAAAAAAGTCCAAAGCAAAAAGGAAAATGTGAGAATGAGAATTTTGAGCATTATTCACGAACACGTGTTAAATTAGATTAAAAACGGCTTTAGAAGCTAAAATTTTCAAGTAATTGAGTATTCTGAACAGATTAGATTATTCTCACATACTCTGACATGTTTTATTTTATTATTTTATATTTTATTACTTTTGTTGTTTGAACCGTAAAACAGTTTGGTGAAGTTCTGTTAGTTTTATGTCTTCTAAAGATTAACTTTACACAAATTTAGGAGAATAATATGTTGAATTAAAATACAGTTAGTCCCTCATTTATTGCGGGGATCCGTACCCTGAAGCCCCACGATAAGTGAAAAACCATGAATTAGGAATAGTTGTACAAGTAGTTGTTTATTATAGTGTGTGTGTGTACAGGTCCTTTTAAAAAAAATTAGCATATTGTGATAAAGGTCATTATTTTCCATAATGTAA